CGCCTCCTTGAGCTCGCTCTCCCCCATCCTACAGGGGGTAGAGATGGCCCCGGGGCCTCTCTGCAAATGCTCACTGCCTACTGGACAGCCCACCAGGACCCTCTCGTGCCCTGAAAACCCACAGTGGAATTTAGCATCTGCAAGGGGCCCCGAACCTGCTCTGCTCCGCTCCATTTCCCCTCACCATTTTACATCTCTGCTTGAGCCAGAGATTAAAGAGCGGTCCTCATGCCTCGTGTTCCTTGCTTCCTGTGCATTCGCAGAGAAGCAACAATGTGATCCCCACCCAGCCTTGAGTCTATCCCCGAATGTATGTCTCTCCCTCTCTCCCTCCTTCCCTCTGTTTCTCTCTTTCTCCAACTTCATTAACAACTCACACAGTAATTTCCATTATAATAACCATAATTACGACCATGTATGGGGCCAGGCTGGTGACAGCCCTGTGACAGCCCCATCAGAGCCCTGCTTGTCTGTTTTCTCCTTCACTCCCCACGCTCAGAAGCTACGACAGGCTCCTTTTCTTAGCAAAGATTTTTATTTTTTAAAGCAGGAATTGGAAATCAGAAAACCATAACTGATACATGAAATTCTCCTTTAAAATGTAATCTTTTCAGTTAACCCGCTGTGATGGTCAGTTTTTGTGTCGACTGGGCTATGCTATAGCATCCGATCAGTTCATCCGACGCGAATCTGAGTCTCTGTGAAGGTATCTGGTAGGCATGGTCACGCCTACAATCAGTTGGCTTTAAGAAGAGGAGGCGACCCTTGATAACGGGGTGGGCCTCACCCAATCAGTAGACAGCCTTGAAAGCAAAACTGAGGTTTTCTAGAGAGGAAGAAATTTTGACTCCAGACCATAGGTCAGTGAGCTTCCAGCCCACTCTATGGATTTCAAACTTACCAGCCCCCCAAAACATGTAAGCCTATTTCTTAAAATAAATCTCCTCATGTATCTGATTGGTTTTGTTTCTCCGGAGACCCCAGCTCTTCTAGGACAAGGAGAAGCTGCAAAGCCTTTTTAGGTTTGTGCCCCTCAGAGAGGGTGGTGGTCTCTGTTATAGGCAATGGCCACAAGAGGGCAGCAGAGACCTAATAATGAGGGATTGCAGGGATTCCAGGGAAGGGTAGGCTGGTCGAGCCCCCAGGAAACAAACATACCCGGGGAAGCACATGTGAGGAAAAACTGTCTTCACACAGGATATGAGAAAGGGCAGCAAGTCAGAAAGAAAGGGCAACGGTTTAATTCACATCTTAGCAACTTTAAGGAACTTAAACACATGAAAACTGCCTTGTAGTAGGGCCCCATGGAGACATCTTGTGGCCAGAGAGAGAAAACTTAATGGGACAGGAGGATGCAGAGGTTGGGGGTGAGGAGAGGGAGGCCCCCTCCCAGCCACCTCACCCACCTCAGACCCCTTCACCACCCTTGGCTGCAGGGGTGAGCAGGTCTGTGTCCTTGAGAAAAATTGCATGAACTTCTGTGGACCCCCCATTTAGAGGACATGGGCTTTCTCATTCTCTTTCCCATAAATGTACTTTTGCCAAACCACGTGAGAGAGGGGTGCAGACATCCTGACCTTTTGCCCAGAATCTAGTGTGCACCTCAGAAGAGCAAGGACATTCTCCTGCAAGACCTAATGTGACCGTCACGCTCAGAAAATTAACGCAGATGCAGTGCTGGCATCCAATGCCCTTCCTTCCTCTCTCCAAACCCATGTTTCCCCGGTTCCCCCACTAATGTCACTGATAGCTGGTTTTCTGTCGTCGGGATGCATCGCAAATCTATTTAGTCTCCTTGAACTGGGGACTGCTCCCAGCTTTTTTTTTTTTTCCCCCAACACATCGACTTTCCTTTCTTTGTAATTTTTTATTTTGAAAGAATCTCAGCTGTATAGAAATAATACAAGAACTCCTTCCCTCGAATTCCCCAATTGTTAACATGTTACTCTTTATCATTCTCTCTTTCTGTCTGTGTAGTTTATCTTCATGCCCTTTTACCCAAATATTTCTTACATTTCCTTAGAGCAGGACCCACCTCTTACACAGCCACAGTACCAATATCAAATCAGACAATTAACACTGTTACAGAGTTCTGTGTTCTATTTCCTAATCTACAGATTTTATTCAGATTTCACACTTGCCCCAATAATGTCATTTTAGGGAATGAACAGTTTTCTCCTGGTCCAGCATCCTGCCCAGGTCACCTGCTGTCTTCAGCTGACACAAGGCTGACACTTTTGTGGACTCTGGGCCAGTTGCATTGGAGAATATCCCTCCATTTAGGCTCTTTGATGTTTCCTAGAACGTTG